CTCAGGGAACTTAGAATCAGAGAGTGGGGTATTTTCGAATCAGGAGATGGGAGGGGACCATGAGTGATGCGAAGGTACCACAGAGGCCAATGTCAAAGAAATCTCAGAGTAGCTGCCTCCGGATCCTCCTCCACCACCACCACCACCACCACCAGGGACTGAGGTATCCGAGGGCGCAGGCCTCCAGGCCTCCATGAACACCCCAGAGACTGCGGATTCAGACTTCCGAGTGGTGTCGCATCCTCTGCACGCTTGCCTTGGCCCCACCCCCATTATTTCACTTCTCAGTCCAGTGTTTCCCGAGGTTCGCCGGCAAGAATCCACCCAGCAATTATCTCCCCTCTTGCGCGCATGGGGGGACATTAACCACGAACGCGCTGGAGAAGAAAGGTACAGATGGGTCTTTTATTGAACACTTGGAAATGTTTCCAAGGCTTTTGTTTTTTTCCCCCATTCATTCCTGCCGGATCACTGGGATCTGCCAACTTCAATCCCCAGAGGTTGCGGCCGGAGAACCCGGCCCACTCGGAGCCCCCGCTAGGGGGCGCGCTCTGGCCGTGGCACTGAGCCGAGCCCTAAAAGGGGGCTGTCGAGGGGAGGCTGGGGGTGAGAAAGCCTACAGCCCCCCTCGGGTCCTCGCGGCCTGGAACTGACACACGCGTGGGGTATCTCGCTGCATCTTACTCGAGCGCCAGTCTGTGCCCACCCGCCCCCATCCCCTACTCCGTCCAGGGTCGCCCGGAGCAGCAGATACTGAGTCAACACTGCACAGGGGACGCCTGGACCCCGGCCGCAGGCGGGGTCCCGCCGTCTGGGGGGAGGAGAGGAGAAAGCAAACGGCGGTGATTAAAGGGCGCTGTAAAGTTTCCCTTTCCCTCAGGTCTGGAAACCTGGAGGGATGGGTGCGACAGAAGATGGGAAGCTCCCGCCTAGAACTCCGTGAGCGCTCGGAGCCCAACTACTCGCTTCTAGCCCGTGGGAGGGGACACACGCCCTCTCTTCGGACGGGAGGCTGCCACCATCTCGCCCAGCTTTGTGCTTGGAGCAAAGCTTGGACAAGCCTGGGCTGCCGCCTGGATGGCTGATGGGGGTGGCGGTGAGGGGGGTCTCTTTCCTCTCTGATTCTTGCTCCCCCACCCTCTCCACCAGCTGCTGACCAGTAACAGAAAGTGAGAAAGTTTGCAAATAAGAAGGGTTACCCTAACAGCCATCGCACTAACGTGTCCATACCTTGAGGGCTCGGCCGTGGTCCTCGGGACGCTTCCAAAAAAGCTGCTTCCCAACAAACCTCTCCCAGCCAAGCCCTAAATGTGGAACCCACGGCTTAGGCGGAGGACACGGCGAAGAGGGAAGGATTAGCAAACCCGAGAGAGTCTTCCCAGGAAATCCAAGTTCTATCAGTCCCTTTGGACCTTTCCACGGGGTGCTCCTTTGAAAATACATCAACAAATAAACACCGTCCACAGACAAATCCCAGCAGCCGTGGGGAGAACTGAGGCAGGGTAGGAAGTGGAGAGCACGCAGGAGGCCGAGAAGGCGAGGGACAAGTTCTAGGCAAGCGGATTATGTTACATTTCCTCCTAATACCAGACATCCAGACGGACGGAGACACCTCGATTTGAGCATAAAATGTATACCCTGAAGTGGATAAGACTCTGAAAGGAGCATTTGAGGAGGTTAACCTTGACTGGTTGGAGTTAAGGGGTGGGGGGTGGGGAGAAGCAAATATTTCTGTTTGTGCCCTCCGGCTCTTCCCAGCACCGGCTGTCAATCCCGAAGCTTGTTATCCTCACAAGGCTTCAGTTTGTTTGCCTGATCTCAGCAAGGTTTTCTTCCACAAGTAGAACTATAATTGCTATAATTCTACTGTATCATTTGGATCATTGCAGTATTGTTGTTTTCTCTCTCTCTCTCTCCCTCCTCCTAACGCTTCAATAACGCGCTCCAGTGTTAAATTAGCAGCTTGCGGAAGACCATAAATGAATGAAAGTTTGTTTAAAAAAAAGAAAGAAGAAGAAGAAATTAAATAAATAAAACAGCAAAATGACTTGGCAAAGGGGATATCACATCACAGAGAATCCTTGCGTGTAATCAGGTCTTATTGTCTTCCCTTCCAATGGCTTCCAAATCGGTCGCTGGATTCCAATGAAGTTTATTTCTATTGTTTAAATATATGTTTTGAAGAGGTTGATCATAATTTAAGGGGACCTGAGACTTCCGGTGCATATGGAAGCCCATCACAGCTTGATTTATCTATGTATATATTGCACAATAAATTAAAACATCTCAGATGAAAAGTATGTGAGGTTAACTCTCTTCCAAACATTTTTTCCCCCTGGATAATGATATCTAACTGCCACCCCTCCCCCTTATTCCACATTTCTTGCAAATATAATTTTAAAACTACAATGTACAATTAGCTCTCAGAAAATAAAGGGGTTTCTTCCACTCTCCTCTTCTAGGTAAATTATTATTTCCAGTTCTGGGAACAAGCCCCACTTTCCACCATAAACAACAGTTCTAAACACTTGTGACCTTCACTTCTAGCCATTATTGTCATTTTTATTATTTAGTACTTGATTTTAAAAGCAGACGAACTGCAAACCATTGTTTTCCAAGCAGCCCAGGAAAAGCAAACCAACAGCTACAGACCCCAAAGATAAGAGGAGCCTGGACTTGTGAATAACAAGGTACAAACGCAAATTATATTAACACTGAAATGAAATTACTTTTGGTTAGTGGGTAAAAGTGAGGCAAAAAGAAAGTGAAGTGTCATTTTGCTGGCAGAGTAAAATTAAATTGGGCGAAACTGTAAGTTCTTTCATACATAATCCTATCGCCCAATTCTTAAAAGTCTGCCCACTCAACACATTAGTTACATTCTTCCTATATATTAGAGGCATCATTTTATTTTCCTAAAATGACATACATAATAACATATGTATATATTTATATCTCTTAAACCCATGTCCTGATTAGACATTGTGGAGACCACAGCATAGTCTTATGTCTCCCAACCCAGCACCTTAGAAAAGTTTTCTGTCATTTTTAAAATTTAATATCTTAGAAATAGCAAAAGTTAATTTTAGATTTTTTAAGTAGGATATTGAATTGTGACAAAGGCGATCTCAGGGCCACTGAGTGTAGAGCTAGATCAGGCCCTTCTCCCCGAGGTGAATGAACGTCTTTCTCAATAGCATCCTCCCTTGGGAAGATTTATTAGAAAATAACAGAAATAAATCAAATGACAGAACAAATAAAACTAGTGTTTTCATACAGGTCTCCCCCCAAAATATTTTATATCCCATTAATAGAATTAGATCTAATTCCAAGGATCATTAAGGCAGAATCAGAAATTCTTTGTTAGCCTCCCCTTTTACAGTGGATGATTAAAATTAGAATACACCCCAGCAGAAAGTCCGACTTCTTTTAAAAGAAGAACAGCTGCACAGGGGGGAGGAGGGGGGATGGAGGCAAAGAAGTCTTCCACCCAGAGAGATGAAACTCCGTTGGGCTCTCAGAAATGATTTGTGCATTTGTTTGTCTTTTTGTTTAACACGATCTTTCTTTGACTCATTTTCAGCCCACTCCCTGCGTGTGCGGAGCCGACTCTGAAGTCACGGAGCCACCCGGCAGCCGGGTCTTGTGGATTTCCGACGCGGGGCCCGCCGGGGAGGGAAAAGTGCCTGTCTCTCCCAGCCACCAAGCCGCAGGGGCGCCCGCGAGGGTCCGCTGCTGGAGGCTAGGAGGAAACCGAAGCTTCTTTACTCCTCTTGGCTGCGATGAGACCCGCGCGCCCGGAATGGGCTTTCGGGGCCGCGGGAGGGAAGGTGGGAGGAAGTCAGCACGCAGGATGTTAGTTTCAAGCTGAACATGACGGTGTAAAAACACCGAACTCTTGGTGAGGATGGAAAAGGAAGAATGCGGGAAAGGCAAGGAGAGATCCCAGGTGACTTGGAATCTCAGAGAGGGCTTAAAGGAAAATCAAATGTCAGCAATGTCTCGGGTTCTCCTCCGTTCCCCACCACAGCCCGTCCATCATCCAAGTGTAGGAAAAACGGATGAGAATTAAGTTAAAAGCCAGGGAGGGAGACAAGAGGGGCAGAGAAATTCTTTTTGTCCTGTCTTTAATAGTAGTAGTAGTATCAGTATTATTATTCGTATTATTAATGCGCCTGTTTCCAACCTTTCATTCCCCGCTCCCCTCACCCCCCCATCCCCCGACCAAGTTTTGTCTTGAAGGCTCCTGCCAGGCCAGCCCGATCTGTCTTCTACCCACCCACTAGCATCCAAGAGTTATGCAGATGTTTGTGGCTGAAAAAAATCTCAGTTATGCATCTTTGTATTTTTAAATACTGACTGTAAGTGATTCAAGTATAATCCTTTGTAAAAGGCTTTTCTCTTTGACACACTGAAGGGGGTTGAGAGAGGAAAACCCGGCGTGGATTCCCCCTCCCTGGCCCCTCTCTCACCCACGACCCTCGCCCCAACTCTGCCAGCGTCTGGGCCCCCCAAAATCCCTAGGAACCTGCACCCAGGCAGGGAAGGCGTCCGTGCTGGCCCCTGGCCCAGGCTCGACCCAACTTCAGTCGGAGTTGGGTTTTGGTTCTGGGCGAAGGAAGCTGTATGGGAAGAAAGGCGCTGTTCCTAAGGTTCACGCTAACCTCTGCTCAAGGGAGCCAAGTCATGAGAATTCAGAATTTTAGACGCTTAGATTTGGCTGCAGCTGAATTTGGGCTCCTTCCACCCTGGAGAACTCAGGGATCCCCGAGGGTTCTGCTCCCTAGGTGCGATTCGAAGGTGAACAGCCTCAGTGTGACGGCCTAACAGATATGAATTTTGGGGGGAGAAGGAGGAAGACAGTCCAGGGAGAAAGAGGTGGTCCCCAGTCGCCCCTCCTCGCTGGTGATACTCTCCAGTCCCCTTCGCCCAGTAGATGCTCTAGGGAAGGCCGCGCGCCTATGACAGAGCTTTGTCTGGAAGGGGGCTTTTTCCCATTCCAGAATTTAAAACGGTGGCGAGAGTGATTTGGGGACGCTACAAACAAGAGAGCCACAGTCGGGCTCAGGGTGAAGATAGCGCGATGCCTTGGGCCACAAGAGAAAACCGAACTCCCAGATGGCAGATGTTTGCTTCGGGCGGTCACCCTGGCCCCTCGACGCCTGTCCGGCATAGAGACGACGGCAATTGAGCGCCAGTGAGGTCAAGGTGGTGTCCTGGGAGCCCAATATTGGCTTTGAAAAATGCCAAGTCTGAACATGAGCCTCGAGGCCTCCCCTCCAGGGAGCGAGGTCCTCGGGTTGGTGGAAGGGGCCCACGCTGCCCAGATGGCACCCACAGGCCTGGCATCCCAATGAGCTAGAAATTCGGCCAACACTAAAGGGTCAAAGAAGGAGCCGCAGGAAGAGGATGGCGGACTTAAGAAAGTTGTTAGTTTAGAAAAAGAAAGGAAGAAAGAAAGCAAAGGAAAATTGGCTCTGTTGCCTGCCCGCTGCCCCCCACCCCCGCCTGCCCCTCTGGAATCCAGTCCAGGCTTTGCACCGCGCCCACAGCCCGACGCAGCCCGGCCTCTGGCGAGAGCCAATCAGAGGGCGCCTCTCAGCACGTGGAGGAGAGAGACTCCAGAGCTCAGCGCCCGCTGCTCACTACACTTGTTACCGCTTGTCCTGAGCGCGGAGAGGGCGAGCTCCGGCCGCGGGCAGGGCGGGAGCCGGCAACCGGCAACCGAGTGAGGCGGAGAGACACAAAGATCGCAATAATATCCGTTATAAACAGCTATCTAACCCCACTCCCAACACACACCCATCCATCCCACCCTCCGGAGAGGCAGCCCGCGATCCGCTCTCTGCGCCCTGGGAAAAAGCCCCAGCCATGAGCAATCAGTACCAGGAGGAGGGCTGCTCCGAGAGGCCCGAGTGCAAAAGTAAATCTCCAACTTTGCTCTCCTCCTACTGCATCGACAGCATCCTGGGCCGGAGGAGCCCGTGCAAAATGCGGCTGCTGGGAGCCGCGCAGAGCTTGCCTGCACCGCTGACCAGCCGCGCCGACCAGGAAAAGGCCGTGCAAGGTAAGGATGCGCCCGTCAGGCACTTAGAGCGTTAGGGGCTGATTTGGATGTTTGATTTTCGGGGTCCAGGGGCCTGGGATTGTCAATTTAGAGAGGAAGGAAGGAGAGGGCATAACTCTGAGGCCTGCTGCCTCAAAGGGCATTAAACATCTCGCCAGGGGCTGTCTCTCCCTCTTTCTCTCCCTGCTTCCAGAAAAAGGCCCGTTTTCACTTCGGGAGCCTTTAGGTTTTCGGTATGATCATTAGGTTATTTAAATGCCCCTTTTGGTGGCCTTGGGTGTCCTCTGAAGAGGGGCGACAGGTCAGAAACAGTAGATGGCTGCTGGACCATTTTAGCAACAACTTGATGAAGACAAGAAGCCCAAAAGCTGGTGAATCGGGGTTTCCAGGCTGATTGAGCCTTGGCCTTTCCTCTTTGGAAGATTTCTGTATATGCGGTGTTTCGGTTTTATTTTTAAATTGTAGATTACTTGTGACCTTTTAAACCCAAGCTTTGCAGAAAACATCTTTCTGGGATTCTCCAAATTCTCCTTAATGTATTTAAAATGTATGAAATGTGTGACTTCTGGGTGCTAATTTTTTCTCTGCTATTTTATTTTTAAAAATAGAGTCGAGCTGTTTAAAAGATTTTATGTTTTCTGAAATTACAATTTCCAGAATAACTGTCCTTTTGCCCCGAACCTGTTACCCTCAAGTTTCGCCTTGAGCTTGCTGCAGAGCTGTCACAGGGAAAGGAAAGAACTGTTGGTTTCTTTTAAAATCCGCAAACCAGCGGTCCAGCCACAGCGCCATTTGGACGGTTGAGAAGGGGGCGTTTAAATAAAATTCAGTTTTTTCTTTTCTGTTTTTAGCCTGCAGTGGCACCTATGCCAGGCGCTTCCTCGAAAGGAAGGAGTGGCCTGTGCCTCCTGCACTCCTACTCCCTCCCTGCCCCAGGCCTTTCCCAGAACATTCTTGCCAGGATGATTTTTCTTTGCCTTTTTGTGCAAGAAGACCCCCCCCCCCCGCTGTGGGCTGTTGGGGTGCAGCCTGCACTTGGGGCCACAGGGCCGCTTCCCCTCCTGAAGCGGTGGCCCTCAGGGCTGCAACCCTCTTGCCAGCCCTTGCCCTCATGGTGGAGCAGCAGGCAGAGGTCGTTCGAAAAGTTTTCAGGATAGTGGTGATTTTTTTTTAAAGTTATAGAATGTTTTCAGATTTTCCTCTGCCCCAAAATGGGAAGGGAAATAAAAGCAAGAGAGGTAGGAAAGGGGAAAGAAAGAGAAAGGAGTAATGAAGAAAGGAGAGGGGGGAGAATAAGCCTACGAAAAGAGAAAGAAAAGGGGAGAGAAAGAGAAAGAGGGATGAGGAAAAGAAGGGATGGGGAGAAAGAAAAAAAGGAGAGAAAAATTACAAGGAAGGAAGAGAGGGGCAAAAGGAATAGGTAAGGGAAGGAAGATAGGAAATAAAGGGGGAGAGTGAGAGAGGGAAAGGAAAAAAGGGAGAAGGAAGGGGAAAAATAAAAAAGCCAGAGAACGGGAAAGAAAGAAAGAAAAATAAAGAGCAATAGACGTGGAGAAAGACGCCAAGGCGTCGAAGTCTGGTGGTGCGCGGACCCCCCAGCAAACCTAGGCCTAGGCACCGTGGGAGCGACTGTGGGCGGCCCCAGGCAGCGGCCCTGGAGGGGACTCCCTGGCCGGCCGGCTGGCTGATCGCTCTCCCTTGCCCGCAGGCTCCCCCAAGAGCAGCGGCGCCCCGTTCGAGGCCGAGCTGCACCTGCCACCCAAGCTACGGCGCCTGTACGGCCCGGGCGGGGGCCGCCTCCTCCAGGGTGCCGCAGCAGCGGCGGCGGCGGCTGCGGCAGCGGCGGCAGCGGCCGCCACGGCCACGGCGGGTCCACGGGGGGAGGCCCCTCCGCCGCCACCGCCAACCGCGCGGCCCGGGGAACGGCCGGACGGCGCAGGGGCCGCTGCGGCTGCTGCAGCCGCGGCCGCCGCAGCCTGGGACACGCTCAAGATCAGCCAGGCGCCGCAGGTGAGCATCAGCCGCAGCAAGTCGTACCGCGAGAACGGGGCGCCCTTCGTGCCGCCGCCGCCCGCGCTGGACGAGCTGGGCGGCCCGGGGGGCGTCACACACCCGGAGGAGCGTCTCGGCGCGGCCGGTGGCCCGGGCAGCGCCCCGGCTGCGGGTGGCGGCACCGGCCCCGAGGACGACGAGGAAGAACTGCTGGAGGACGAAGAGGATGAGGACGAGGAAGAAGAGCTGCTGGAGGACGACGAGGAGGAGCTGCTGGAGGACGACGCCCACGCGCTGCTCAAGGAGCCCCGGCGCTGCGCTGTGGCCACCACTGGCGCCGTGGCCGCAGCAGCTACCGCTGCAGTGGCCACCGAGGGCGGGGAGCTGTCACCCAAGGAAGAGCTGCTGCTGCACCCGGAAGACGCTGAGGGCAAGGACGGCGAGGACAGCGTGTGCCTGTCTGCCGGCAGCGACTCGGAGGAGGGGCTGCTGAAACGCAAACAGAGGCGCTACCGCACCACGTTCACCAGCTACCAGCTGGAGGAACTGGAGCGGGCCTTCCAGAAGACGCACTACCCGGACGTCTTCACCAGGTATGCGGGTAGTGTGGTGGTCGCGGCCACAGCGGTGGAGGGCGCACGAGGGCCCCAGGGAGGGACAGCGGGCACCGACCAGGCCTTGGGGCGGGCACTTGGCTCCTGGACTCTTCGGAGGAGGAGGGCCCTCCCAACACACCCACCCTTGCTCACCCAAACCACCCACTCCCCCTACCCCCGCTTCAGGCTTTAGGTTTAGGCTGGAATGGTTTCTCTCCTTCCCAAGGTCGTTGCAGTTGAATGTTTTCAAATTACAAGTTTTAGTTAGAGAGAGGAAAAGAAACAACCTCTCCAAAGAGCGCAGGAACGCACCACCTTGGAGACTCGGACACAGCTGCGCGCACAGACACAGCCTCGGCACAGCCTCCGTCGCTGCGGCCGGGCCAGGTCCCCTGCAAGGCTCGGGAAGCGCTGTCCGAGGTCGTGCGGCCAAAGCAAATCAGGGGCTATTTTTGGCTGTTGTGCTGTGCGCTCACCACCCCCGCCTGGTGCCCCAGGAGCCTGGTGGGTATCAGTTACGCAGTTTGCAGTGAAGCTGGAGCCCGTGCCAGCGGAGAAGGCCTTTAAAAAGATCTGAGTTCTGTCGTTTCAGGACTCCTGAAATAACCAAAGGAAGTCGGAACTGCGCAGTGTTTGGTGTCTGAACACCTGAGATGCCCCAGCCAGAATCTCCCCTTTTACTCTCTGTCCTCTCCCGACACATACGTTAAACCCACCGTGCGTTTAATGTAACCGGGTTTACCGGGTGGACAGTGATTGCTGCAAGCCTGGCAGGCAGTAGACGAAGCAGTTGGGGGAATTTTCTCTTTGGATCAGTGTCTAAGCTGCGTCTTCGGCCTGGTCACGCTCTACCTCCCACTTGCCCGAGTTTCTCAGAGAAACATGGGTGTGTGGGATGACTGGGTCCTGGGCCTCAGCTTATTCAGCCGACCACCTGGGGCGCCGGCCCGGCTAGGGGTCCTTCTCTCCCACCCCAAGGCCAAGTTCTCAGCTCAGGCGAGGAGCCAGGGTTATGGCAAATGTTCCCCAGTGAGGGGGAGAAAGGGATCGATGACTGCCTGGCCTGCCTGGCGCGGGGCTTGTCAAGCGCCGGCAGTTCCTTCAAAGGAGACGTGCGCAGCTTTTCAATGTGCATTTTAGAAGGGGAATGCTGCCCGCCCCTTTGAATCAGAGGAGAAATCGCTGCTTAGGGCTCGGGAGGCCGAGCTAACTCCAAAATGTAGTTGGCCTGGCAATTGCCTAACTCTCTCCTAACCAGAAACAGAAAAGAGCGGATTTAATGCCGGGCAAAGGCACACGAACATGGTCATCCCTTGGGCTACCCTTGGTCTTCACCTGTATCACCCAGCCCTTTCCTTATCTTTAAAAAAGGAACTACATATAAAAACCGACGTGTGTTATCAAATAGTGAATTAGCCGACCAGCGTTTGCGTTTCTCATACGAGTTTATTTCCAAAGAAGAAACTGAGCTGGTGCCAGTTGGCATCCAGGTCCGCCCTTTTTTAGCTTCTGGCGGGCTTGGGAGCGGGGAGGACCGAAGTGCCTGAGGAGGGGCAGCTCCTCTGCCCCACCCCCACCTCCTTCCAACTCAGGGGTTTGAGCCCCTTGGCTCCGGCCCCAGAGCCAGCCTGCAGTGCCGCTTTAGATTTGCTGGTTCTCACTGTAGCAGGAGGCAATGGAGGGCACTTATGGAGACGGTTTTCCTCTGGTGCTGAAGTTTCAGGTGTGGACTGGGTGCTACCGGCAGGGCATCTCCGGGTCCCCGGCTTCAGCAGCCCCCGCTCTTTCATATTAGCAAGCGGAGGGCCAATTATTCTCGGCGCTCTCATATTTTCGGTAAACAGGTCGTAAGCCGTTTTACAGCATCTTAATGGTTTCCTATTTGCCTTAATTGTCGCAGTAATAACTGCAATGACGGGGTAGGATTTCAGTTAAATTGACTTCCCCTGAGATGGGCAGGGTTTGTAGTGGGCACTGGAGTCAGGAGTTGCTCGGAATTTTGTTTAATCGAAAAATTACCCCACTGAACTTTTAACAAGCTTAACATATCTGCAGCGTAAAGGGGAGTGTGACCCAAGGGGATGACAGAGGGAGGAAGGTGGGGGGAGAGAGAGATGGAGGGAAAGGCACAGCTGGAAAGAGAAAAAGGAAGAAGGAGGGAGAGAATTAAAAAAAAAAGGAGGCAGAATGAAACCAAGAGGACAGAAAAGTATTTTCTTGAGTGAGTGCTGAGTTCCTGTCCCACTTAATATTAGGACAAAACAGGGTATAAGCAGTGTGTGTGTGTGTGTGTGTGTGTGTGTGTGTGTGTGTGTTCTAACTGTGGCTTAAGAGAGTGACAGAGAACCTGTGTACCCAGGTTTGTAGACTTAACAAGAAGCCACCCTCGTCACACATGAATATAGCATGATTTAATAGATAATATCCTATATCTGGCAATGTGCTTCATGTTTTTGCATTTTCAGTCAAATAGTAGGCACTCCAGGGGTGATGGAATGGCGATACCCATAAGTTTGGGGGTGGGGAGCAGGCAGCCAGGGAGACCCTAGTGGAGCAGGCCTGCCACGGAGGAGGGGATGGCTGAGGGCATTGCTGGGGCCTGCAGTGACCTCCGGTCTGTGTGTTGCTTTCTTATAGGGAGGAACTGGCCATGAGGCTGGACTTGACTGAGGCCCGAGTCCAGGTGAGAAGCACAACAGAGAGGGAAGAGGGAGGGAGGAGGGCCGGTGGGAGAGAGAGATGGGTTGCTGGGTAGAAGGGTTGACATCCCCTTCACAAAACCAAGAGAAGCAGAATCAGAAAAGTAGACCCAAGCACTCTCACGCACACAGATATTTAAAACTTAAGACCTGGGAGGTGGAAGGGGGAGGTTTCTGGGTTTGGGAGCCCAAGGAAGGAGTCCAGGATCAGAACAAGGGCTTTAGAGTCCCTGAGACTGCAGTTGAGGAGCCCTAGCCCCAAAGACACTATGGGAAACAATCCACCAACCTACTTCTCCTGATTGAAATAATGGGATGGAGCATGGATTTGGTTGTTAGACAAATCCGCTCAGCTCCAAGCAGGTATTTGGCTGCGATTAAGTCTCCAATCGGGCTTCATAAAAGCCCACTTAGTGCTAGAACAAACAGGGCCATTTGAAGGCAAAATGCTGTTTGATTTCCCCTCCGCCCCGCACAAGGAGCTGGCTAATGCTATTTGATTTCCCATTTTTTATAGCAATGAGCCCACATTGATCTAATAGGGAGTGAGTGCAATGCTATTAAAGGTGTTTGCAGCCCCATACCAGAGTGCATTTCCGAACCCAGGCCTCATAACCAAAGAGACGATCAACACTGAGCAGCCCCGATGGCCAACAGAAAACAGATGTCCCCGGGTTAGGAGCTGAGTGAATCACTTTACAGTCAAAATCAAGCGCTGATAAAGCACAATAAATTCCATATGGCTCATTTAATACACAACAGCTTCTTGCATTAGAGGGCTAATGATGAGGCCTGTCCCCTCCTTTCTGTTGACACATTTCTCCATTGTCAAACAGAGATGTGACAGCAACTCCGTATTTTCAGCTCAGGGGAACGAGTCGTGGGAAAGTTAAATAACTTTTAAAAAGAAAGAGAGCGCCCCCTCCCTTTCTCCTCTCCCCCTATTCACTGGAGAAGATGTAATTAAGTGAATATGAATTATTAGAGTCCTTTCGTTTACCTTTGGGGGGCCTCAGAGGTATTAATTCAATAATGAGGAATTGCAGGGGGACATCTTGATAATTGCAATTGAGCCGGGAGAGACGGTCTGTCTGTAAAAAGGTTTCCACGTCCTTTGAGGACATTCTGAGTCCACTGCCCCCAGTCCCCTTCTTTCATTGCAATCAAGGAGTGGTGGATATTCTCGTCTAGACAGATTTGGATACACAAAAGCTGCCCACCCAGCCCGGTCCCATCTACAGTCTTACTTTTTCAAGCCTCTGGGTTTCCACACTGAAGTGTTTCTGAAATTCACAAATAGATTATTTGAAGGCTGCAGAATAGTGTGGATGGGCCCCCTTTTGGCAGAATTGGAATGAATCGACCGATTTGGATTCTCGATTTTTCTTGCCCTGGGGGGCTGTCTAGAAGTCAAACCAAGCTTAGATGCTAGTGCTGGTAACAAGCCCCAGTGTGTAGGTTTGAAATATATAGATATCGTCCACATTTTAAAATATATTCCTCTGGGATAATTTACATAATATTTGAATATACCTTTGTATAGTCCTGGAGTTCATTCTTAATTTTCAGACGTTCGTGCAGTTATAAATCCAGCCCTAAAAATATTAATGCCTTCAGGGGTGAAGGAGCGTATCTTCTCAGCTGTGGGTGTGATGAGCAGGTCACATAAAAATAATTTCGTGCTCCTGGGGTTTATTTTTAGATGATGGTAGCTGCCATGTTTCAGGTAAAGGTCTCTATTAAAACTGCCTTCTATTAGCAATTAGGAAAATACCTCAGGCTGAAAACCTCCAAGCCTAGAACTATCTTATTTAAATAACGGATTTAAACCACATCTCCAAAAGGAAATAAAAGACTTGTTAGTGCTGAAGATGTGAAAAGTCTATACCTGCCCTCTGATTTCTTTGCGCCCAGGTATTGCCGCCTACTTCATCCCTGTAGTCATGCCTTCCAGCATAGAACTGGGTCCTGTGGGGAGCCCCTGCCAAGAGCAGGCTGTGTACCCCAATTTCATTTCATAGAGGACTGACCCCCTGAAACGTATTAACGTGCTAATTAACGAAGAAATGCCAATTAACGTGAGCATTTCTTCCCTCCCTCTCGTCCCTCCCTGAACCCCAGAACTCAGCATAGTGCTGTTAGGTGTTCAGTAAATATTTCTGGAAAGAATAAATGAACTGTCTCTCCACTTCCCTCTTCCATACAGAGCAAGAATTTTGCCAGCGCTTTTGTAAATCTGAACTAGGTGAAAATAGCTGATATGCAGTAAAACCAGCATGTCCGTCATCTCTTGGTGGCTGCCCATTCCCTGGAGTCACCATTGAATGGTTGCTTTCGCTTGCTTTATTTTACCCAGTCCTCATAACAGCCTTATGAGTGAAGTTTTATTATCCCCATTTTACAGATTCAAAAACTGAGGTTCAGAGAGGTTTAAGTGACCTGCCTAAAGATCCTAGGAAGCAAGTGTCAGCACAGACGTTTAAACTTTGGTTTCCCCAACTCTAAACACACTGAACCACTTTCCTTAAACTTGGAAAGCTGGCCCAGTTGGAATGCCGGCAGAAAGGGTTTGCTTGTTCTGCGTTTCCTGCTGGCTTGAAGTTGCGGCTCCTATTCATTGCTCATTTGGCCCCAGAAGTGTCCGAAAACAACCTGAGGCCTAAAAGAGCCAGATGGGCGTGGGCCGCGGTAGAAAGGAAGGGGGCCCCCGCAGCCTGCCGAGGGAAGGGGCGGGTACAGGCTCGGTGTGCCCACCGGGCCGAGCCGCGCCGACCCTGGGCTCTCTCTGCCTTGCAGGTCTGGTTCCAGAACCGTCGAGCCAAGTGGCGCAAGCGGGAGAAGGCGGGCGCGCAGACCCACCCCCCAGGGCTGCCCTTCCCCGGGCCGCTCTCTGCCACCCACCCACTCAGCCCCTACCTGGACGCCAGCCCCTTCCCTCCGCACCACCCGGCGCTCGACTCTGCCTGGACTGCCGCCGCTGCCGCTGCCGCCGCCGCCTTCCCGAGCCTACCTCCGCCTCCGGGCTCGGCCAGCCTGCCGCCCAGCGGGGCGCCGCTGGGCCTGAGCACTTTCCTTGGAGCTGCAGTGTTCCGACACCCGGCTTTCATCAGCCCCGCGTTCGGAAGGTAACGCGCGGCTTCGGAAGTCTGTCTGTCTGTCTGTCTGCCTGCCTGCCTGTCTGTCTCTCACACACACAGAGGCTGGGGGCAGGGAGGAGGCAGAAGTAAAACAGGGTTACACCCTTCTTTTTCTTTGACCTAACCTCAGAGACTGTAGCCCAAGAAAGTACTCTAAATTGCACCTCCAAAAAAAAAAAGTGGGTATTGAAGGGATTGACGTGGAACTGAACACTGAACGGGAAAGGGGAAGGCAGTGACAGTAACGACAACCGTGACAACCGGGAATGAAAGCTGTAAAAGTACCATTTGAAGGCCGTCACCACTCCTACCATAGGTAGTTAAGCGAGCAAACGTGTACAGGTGTAGGCTAGAGAGCAGGGATGACTTTTCAAGTTTTGCAAAAGTTCTTCCTCATGCCCCCAAACCTGGCAGCCTGAGGGACACAGTCCTGATCCCCATTGGAGCCCTGGAGCCACCAGGCCCTCTGGGTGCACTTTCTTCTGCCCCAGACTCCATCTTCCTTGTCACTCAAGTGACCTGCTGCCAACGACACCCCCGTATGTGCAAGGCCCGATCTACACAACAGTACAAGACAACGAAATAAAAGAAACAGTTCATCGTATAACTCCTTTTCTTTAAGTGAACATCGAATGAGGAAATTAAAAGTCTGTATAATCACACAGACAAAGAAATGAAGGAGGGATGTATTCTGTTAGAGAGTGCAGTGAAAATCAAACTGGATGCAGCTTCAGTGATCACTCTTTGGGAGAACAAAGAAATAATAGATTCATCCATCTGCACAGCTGCTTAACAAAAATAATCTTACAGAAAATTAAGACTCGGAGTAAATTTAGTTTCTTGTAACAAGCCAATAAAATAAACAGCGAGTGCACTGAAGCAGTTAGTGACTCAGTTTACCTAATGGAACCAGGGCGTGTCACGCCACCTCCGAGTCACACTTTATCATTTCTTTCTGATAAAAATGTTAAAGTTCTGTGTCTCCCCTCCCTCCACTTTTCCCCTCTGACAAGCGACTTGTAAACCCAGGCGAACCGTGGCTGGAGGACCAAGTTGCGAGATTCGGAGAGGCTGGAAGAGGATCTGGGCTGGGGTGGTTGAAGGAGTGAGCAGTGGGCTTGGGAGAAGGAGGTGGCGCTCGGTGAGCCCAAGTGGGCTCATTTCTAACCCTGGAAATCCGGAATTGGCCCTGCGGGCGTGGAACCAGAGCCCTCAGGGAGGCGAAAGCCCGTAGGCACTGCAAGGTGTGGGCGTGGAGGTGGCGTCCGGTGACCCCGGGCGTCTCGGGCCACAGCTACAGGTCCCAGTGCTGCGAGCATGGGGTAGAAGCGTCACGCGGAGTAATCCCGGCGCTGCGGGGAGGCGGTGGCGCTGGCGCGGGTCCCAGGCTTGGGCATCGCCTTGCACCGCGCGCCGGTGTCATGGGTCGGGGGCTCCCTGAGGCCAGAGGCCACAGAGGCGCAGGGAAGACAGCGGGGTGGGGAGGGCGGAGTGTCGCCGCGCCGGGACGTGGAGCTGCTGGCTGGTTACTCCCGCCCATCGAGCGGAAATCAACAGGCAGTCGCCCTTCAACCCCAGCCCGCGGGCACCTGCTGGACGCGGGTCGCTGAGCCCCACGCAGAAGGGCGGCTGCGGCGGCGCGGGTGGCCCGGGAGCCGGCGAGCTAGGCCCGTTTCTCCAGGGCGCAGGAAGTCCCGGGCCGAGGAGCCCGAGGAAGACCTCAGAGCCTGCTGCGTGGGTCTGGGCAGCTGGAATCCCACCTTCTCCGTCTTTTTTTTCTCCCCCTCCCACCGTCCACCTTCCCTTCTCCTTTTGCTCTTCTTTCCTCCCTCCACATTCTCTCCTAGAAGATAGTGTCATTGCAGCCCCTGGCCTTGGAATATACTGTCCGCTTAAGCGAAACCACCGAATCCACGCACTGGGCCGTGGGCCTTGGGATCTGCACGCCCGACTGTGGACCCGGGCCTGGCTCCTCGGGGAATATCTGGACTGGGTCTTCTCCGCTCTGCCCCACCCCATCGGTTCCCTGCCCTGGGGAAAGCCCTCTCTGCGGGCTCCAGCCTCCGCCCGTGTCCCCTGCCCACTCCCCCGCCGCGGCCCACCCGGGTCTCGTGGGCACCGTGCCCCTCGGCTGCCACAGTGACAAGCGGCTGAGATGCTGCCCCAGGCGCCGCGCACAGCTCCGTAGGTCATGACCGTGCTCTTTGCTCTCCCCGCAGGCTCTTTTCCACTATGGCCCCTCTGACCAGCGCGTCGACCGCGGCTGCGCTCCTGAGACAGCCCACACCCGCCGTGGAGGGCGCAGTGGCATCGGGCGCTCTGGCCGACCCGGCCACGGCGGCTGCAGACAGACGCGCCTCTAGCATAGCCGCGCTGAGGCTCAAGGCCAAGGAGCACGCGGCGCAGCTCACGCAGCTCAACATCCTGCCGGGCACCAGCACGGGCAAGGAGGTGTGCTAAAGGCTGCCCTCCACCCCTGCGCCCTGCGCGCGCCCCTAAAGGTCACCTCACTCAGCACCACTCAAGACCAAATGGAAACAGAGGACCAGCACACTCCCGAGACGGCACTGAGAGAGCACAGCCGCCTTCGCAGCAGTCTGGACATGGGCGAGGCAGCCCACGGCGCTCCGGGACGTGGCACCTCCTCGGCTGGCTGTCCCCCACCCCCTGCCCCTTCCCCTGTCACTGCCAACCTCGCTCCAACTCCAACGTCCACTCTCTCCCGTTCTTACTTTCCTGAAAATATCGGGGAAGTTTTTTCCCCTAGACGCCTGATATTGAAGTAAAAAAAATTTAAAAACCCAAACTTTCTTCCTCCTGACACCCCACTTAGCTTTTTTTTTCTTTAATAGCATTTTGGCGCTCGAAGTTGATCTCCCCAGCGTGGGCCCCAGCTTGAAGCCAGGGTCCGGGAAGCGAACGCGAGCCTGTAAGATAGCTAACAGTGCACTTAAAGCAAAGGGGCGTCTTGTTCTTGTTCTCTTCTTTATCATACACCAACCAAGGTTTTTATATCAAACCAAAGGGAAATACTCTGCTAGAATATGGACTGTTGAAGTCACCAAACTGTGATTATTGATTCTGTACATACCATTGTTATTAAAAAAAAAAAAAGAACAGAGCTTTGTATATTTGAAATGTTATAACGCAATTGCACTCAGCGTGGTATGGTAAAAGTTTGTCCTCCTGTAGATTCTTACTGTGTTGTAGATACGGTAGGGTTCCTAGACAAATATTTATGTACTCAAGCCCTTTATTTAACTTATTAACTGTAGAGGCTTCCGAAACCTTCAAGATAAAGGCAATGGTACAGTACTTTTGTGTAATGTGTAATTGTTATCACTTTTCCTTGCTATCTAGTGGAGAAGTGTCACGCTCAAAATAAAAAAATTATATGTTTAACAAAACGAAGTGTGAATGTTCTATACAGGCGCTGAGGGGACAGTAGAAGCCCCCACTCCGACCCTCCGTGAGTCAAGGGTGGGCTCCAGCGTCCAGGCATCTCCTGGGATTATCTGCACACGCGTTTTCATGGCAGAGGCCCCTGGTTTGAATCCGATCCTCAAAGGGAACCGGATTTCCTGCAAAGGTTAAGGACTCCGCCGCGGTACTTTCCACGCGCATCTCGGCTCTCCCTGGTTGTGTGACAGCAGGAGCTGGGGGTCCTGGGCCACGGAGGTGGGGTGGGTTTCAGGATGGGTGGGTGGATGGTGGGCGTTGTTGATGGTGGAGTCTGAAATTTGAAGCAAGCGGGAGTCTTGGCTCAGAAGGCGAAGGGAGCTGTTGGAAAGTACCACGTAGCGAGGAAGGAAGTGAAGTGCGCAGTCCGAGATGACAGGTACTGGCAAGAATGAGAAGCCCAGGCGCTCCCTTTCGAGGGGGCGGGCTCCACGGCACGTTCACGGTGAGGAGGGTGTGTGTGTGTGTGTGTGTGTGTGTGTGTGAAAGAGAGAGAGAGAGAGAGACATGCTGGAGCAGTAGTGATGGAAAGGCAGCGAGGGGTATCCAAGTGGCAGATCTTACCTCGACAAATGTCATTACATCACTTATCCAGGCATTGGTAAATGTATACATTTTAAAAAATCTAAACAACTCAGGTTTCGTGAGGAGACCCAAACAGATTTGCAATCCTTAACCACTTCGGCGCACCCCTCCCTTCCCGCGGCGGAGACCGCAGCTTCTCCCTCCCCCGGGCCCTGCCCGCGCCCCTCCGGGTGACCGCTCTGTGGAAGCCCGCCCGCGGGGGCTGGGTCTCGCCAACGCTCCCAGGGAGATGGGAAAGGGAAGAGAAGCTTAATTAGTTTCAATTTGCTGTAATTAGTGCGCCGGACCTTTGGGGAGAGGGGCAAGCGGGAGGGGTGCGGGGGTGCCGCGGCCTGACTACCGCGATCACGGAGCTGGGGCCGGCAGCCCCGCCACGCCACCGGCCAGTCGGTCGCCGCGGGGGGCGCGGGTTCGTCTCTCGGCCGGGGCCGTAGGGCTCCGGGCGCGCCCTGGAGGAGGGGGGCCGGGTCCTCTCGAGGCCCAGGGCGCAAGTGTGAGCGGCCGAGGGGAGGGTGCAGGGTCGGGCAGAGGTCAGCGGCCTGCTAGGAGCGGCGCCCGCCTGGGTGTGGGCAGCCCGCCCCGCAGCTGCGGCGCTGGAGCCCGCGCGTCCCGGGCTCGCCCTCTATTCGGCAGCCCCCTTTACCTCCCGCTTCAATCTCCCCTCCCCAACCCCGGGTCCAGACGCCCAGAGACCCCGCCCGCCCGAAACGTTGGGGAGCGCGCCTACCCGGCTCGCCAGCTGGTGGGCGCTTCTGGCACTTGGGCCTTCACTGGCCCTGGACAAACGAGGGAGGCACTCGCAAGAAGGGCCCGGCCTCGGGTATGGGGAGCGGCCGCCAACTACCATTCCTACCACACACTCGTTTTCCGGGTTTAGTAGACACAGTGGGAACTTTCTAGGGCCTTACTGGAGGTCTGCGAGTCTAAAACTCTCTGACTCCACATCCATAGGGTCTCCATGAGCGAAAGCAGCCTTCCTGGGGTGGGCAGGGCCGCTGGGGAGTTTGGGGAGGAGATGGGGGACTGCTGGAGAAGACTGAGGAAAAGGAGTTGGGTGTGTGTGTGTGTGTGTTTTTATTTTTGTGGTCAATATCAATTTTTCGTCGATTTTGCGTTTTTGTTTAGTAGGGCTTCTTTTCCCCCCTCCAGGCTGCTAGCTGGATGGTATATGAGAAACAGTACCATTCTTCCTGTTAATGAACTCTTTTTTTAAGTCATTTTTTCTCATTTGACCCTTCCATGGAACAGAAGCAAATTGCGTGAAATTACCTCCAAGGATTACATTTATTACTGGCCAATGAGAACCCCTCGCCTTGTTTTACAAACTCTTAATCCTATGTCATTCTGATGCTGCAAACAAGCCGGGTCCTGGGCCTCCTATTCTTTCAACTTTCCCCAGCTGGAGGGACCTCATTCTGCACTTAATATTCCCCATAAATATCACACGCTAAAGACCCCCTGACTTCCAGCAAGTCCACATTAAACATGTGACATGTCACGCATGACAAACTCTGAGTATCTTTTCAAAGCAGCATTAAAAGCAAAGAAACCAATTTTCTTCTCCTTCCAAACCTCCCCAAGTGCTGAATGATGGGGATTGGAAAGAGCCACTGGAGCGTACTTAGGGGGATTTTATGAGATTTTCCAGAATGATTTAATCTTATTGTGAGCATTATTAATGAATGGCAACCCAATTTGGCCCCAATATCTGGGAACTTGGTCACAATGCTGGGAGCCGCTGACCCCCCCAACCTTAAGCAAACCTCTTCCACCTCGGAGGAGGACGCGCAGAGCCCCAGGGAGTTTTCAAGAGCCCAGTTCAGGGCAGGGCTGTGTCCTGTCACACCCAAAGCAGAACCGCCCAACACCTGCTTTCCCAGGGCCACCCCCCACAGCATCTTGGGGTGAGGGGTAACTGAAGCCTGGGACAGGCCTCTGTAGGAGGGTTGAGGGGAAGGGGTAGGTTAATTTGCTACATTTTCAGACAGGTTCGCCAGATCTGGAGGAGGTACTGGAAGGCAAAAGGGGCGCATCTGGCATGTTATCAGAAGTGTCCTTCAGTCACCAACTACCCATGACCCGAACTGTGGACAGTAGTCAGGGCGGGCATCGTAGGCGTGTGGTGAGGGAGGTGGCAAGTGGAAGAATTAGGGAGAGTGACGGTTGAAGTTTGGAACTCTTGGGACTTGAAACTCAGACTTAAACTATAAGTCCATGCTGAAATGGGCTCAGACCAGTTTCCCATTTTTTCTCTTACTCCCCACAACCCGCCCAATTAGGGCAAACATTACTGTTGTTTTTGATTGTAGTATCAAGAGCCGAAGCAGCCGTAGTTCTCTTTTTAGTATCCTTTAAGTGTGATCTTACTAGAGTGACAAAAGGGTCTGATGTGAGAGAAAAGGAAATTATAATAGGTTAACCCAACTTGCTCGTAGAGAAAAAAATGTGTCTGTGAGCATGTATGTGTATGGACAAAACTGAGTGTGTCTGAATGAAGGAGGTTTTAAATGGGGCCTAAAATTATATTTTGGAACACAGAGGTCCGTGGAACAACTGTGTATTTCCCTGATAGTAGCTGCTGGCTGGGGGGTGGGGAGAAGAAAACCCACTACCTGACAGTGGGGGTGGGGGGGGTGGCACATTTTTCAGAGGAAGAAGTCTTGCTGTCCCTGGACATTATTAAGGGTCCAGTTTGAAGTATATATATATATTTTTTCCTTTAAAGAAAAGGGAGCGATTACCAGTTATACATTAAGAAATGTCATTCAGTCATTTTTATTCATTCTCCGGAAATCTTCGTAAAAGCCTGAATCATACTTCTACAAGCAGCAATTTTGTTAATCCAGGGGGTTATTACTCTGGGCCCTTATTAGGTTCTACACCACTGCCAAGCAATCCTATAACCCTCTCAAAAGAAGTTTACCTCCCTGTTATAAAACCAGTAGTGGTATTTATACTGTGCAATAATTAGTGTATTACTTGAATCCACTAACACGTTCATTTTATCTCTGCACAAAACCTCTAGTCTGCTTATAGAAAGCTTGTGCCTCCTTTGGTGCTGTTAAAGTGGTGAAAGAGTGAATTGAAGGCTGGTTGCACTTTCTCCTTTTGCCTCGCCTTAATTCCCATCTCTTTTTGCTCTCATCCAATTAGCACAGTGTATTAAGCGGTTTATCATCTCATAGTCAGCTATTGAGAGAAACAAGGCGAGCACTTTGCAATAGAACCTGCGCTCCTTTGACACCCTCAGGTACTTACATATTCCACTGCGCTATGAATAATAGAGGAAGAATGGAGCGCTAATTCCCTCATCAAAGAATGCCTTGTCTGCTGCTTTGCTCAACAACACCATTCTGATCAAAAGAAAAGCAATAAAGCTTAGCATAACAAAACGAAACCTACTTATTAGCTTAGTGGTTAAATTAATGCAGAGCCGCTGCTATTCAAAACCAAGGTTTGAAAACAGCCTCCAACAACCTGATAATGCTGCCTTCGGGATGAAGGAATTTTAATCTGAAATTTGAGGCTGGCTGAGATGAGTTAATCTATTAAACTGCTATAAGGAAGCTCCACCACAAACTGTTCAATTAAGAAATATTTAGGTGAGAGAGAGAGAGAGAGAGAGGAGAAAGAGGGGGCGGGAGGGAGAAAGGAACACGGAACGGCAAGTTTAAATTTGGGATGGGAGCATGGAATTAAAGGGTTGGGCATCCTGACAAGAGGGTCTGGGGCTTGGTGTTTTTCTTAAAACCCTAACGCAAACAGGAAAATCTTGTTTGTTTTTTTTTTTTTGAGTTTCCTTACCATTGCATCTTCTGCCAAACTCATTTTAAATGATGTTTGAAGAAGTATGTCGTGGTGGATGGTGCGTGTTGGAGGTAAAAGGTAGCAAGGCCTGGAGACAGAGGTGGTGGTGAGGGGCAGTGAATTCCTTCCCTTTCACCATCTCCCAGATCCCAGTCTTGGAACTTTCATTAGCCCCTACATCCTGGGCAGCAGTCATGAGATTAACTCCATCTGTTTTCTGGAAAAATTAAAATCTTATCAAGCATACTCTGTGGGATTTTCTACTCCTGGCCCCCTCCATGCACCTTACATGTAGGAGGGTGGAGGGTTAGCAGATTGTCTCCAAGATAAGCTTGCGTACAAGGATCTGCTGTAGGTCAGATCCTAGTTGCTAAATTAAACAGAAAAGGTGCCCTTTCCAGAGGCAGGGGGCTCTGAGAAGAGCAGGGTTCTTTTATGGTAGAATTTCCCACTTGGCCCAGATAAACTTTGGCCCAGAGGTTTACTCTGGCCCAAGGAGAGTTTAAAGTTTTATTTTTAGAAATTAGTTGTCTTCCTAGAAAGAACATAGGAAAAT